TTCGTATATAAGTTGATTTCACTTTTTTAAATAATGCCTGCTAAGTAGTAATGGATCGAAATTTAGTCTGTTGATTGATTTCTATCTGTTTAAATCTCTCTCTCTACATATGTATATATATAACATGATATTATCAGGACTTCTAGTCTGAACTGTTGATCCGAGGCGGTCAAAGCTGCCTTTTCAACGGTTCGTCCCCTCCCTTTCTAGGGTCACCTGTCATTGGCATCATGTTGTGGTGGTTGTCATTGTGAATGGTGATTAGAACTGTAGTCTAGAAAATCAAATATTTGTATTGACGGCCACATCAATGATTTAGCTGAAAAGAGTCTGTTAGACAGGCTTTTAATGCATTCATTAAACAGAATGATTTGACATCAATGTATGCTGTGTGTTTAAACTTGAGAAGTTGTAAACAAATCAATAGGAAGTTTCAGTAGACTGGAATTTGTATTCATCAACAGGGTGTGATATGCATTTCCCACTAATGATACGAAATCAGTACTACTGGCTGCCTAAGTGAGAAATGTTATCCATCATAAAGGTTTATAAAAAGGGCCTGAAATGTCAGTGTTCTCTTAGACTTTCATGTCACCTTTGAATCAATTAGACTACAATTTCGAACCCTTATATTTTAGATAGATAGCTAAAGCAGTATCACTACTAGTATTCACAAGCCTTTTCTATTTTGACGCTAATTATCGAGTTTAACAATACTTATTTTCCAAATGCATTTAGAAAACCAGTATCAAAGTTTGGGGGGGGAAGGACGCCATGAACCGGCATCGGAAAAAGAACCATTAAAAAATATTTGACAGTGGTAATTATTTATCAGCAACCTGATGTGCAGATATTGGCAAAATAAGTCAACCGTATTTTAGAATCACAATTTGCACGTGTTGCATCGGTGGCACAGCGACAGAATGCTAGCCAACCATGCAGGTGGCTTAGGATTCGATCCCCTGCCTACGTGCTCTTTTACTTCGCCAATAAGACTGGTAAAAAGGGAAGGCTAGGCATGAGGCTAGCAACCCCATCCCGTAAAAATAAACACCACTACTACCGAAACTTTGAGAGGCTCTCTAGCTTGAAGCTCAATGTTCCACTGGGAATGTAAAGGAAAAAACTAAGATTAAAATAATAACTTGCATATATCTTCGGTGTTGTGCTAATCTTGTCTTCTGTATTGTGCTTCTTTGTCATTCTCTCATGTTTCACATATCTTGTTTCATAAGCATCGTTCATTCATCTCTCCTCTTTGCCATCCGATCTATCTCTCTGCTATTCGATATTCTTACAGTTGATATGCATATTTATGTCTGTATCTATACACTACTTACAAATCTTGTCAGTAGCACACACCTCACCCAAAGTACTCAAGATATAAGAGGATGTAAGTAGTATATGACTACTTATATCATGGAATAAGTAGTTTGTGGTTTAATGCAAATATACTCGTTTTCTTGATTTCCTCATAGCATATATCAACGGACCAGTGTCAGTCGGTGAAAAGAAATCCGAAAGCTAGATAACGCTGAATTGAGTTTACAAGTGAACAGCAGATTAGCAGATCTCGCTAGCAAATATTTAAGAACTTTCATATCTGCTTGTTGCATAACATATTGTTATAATTGGTAACTTAAAATTATACTTTTTTAAAGAGTTAGTCAAAAATATTTGTACACGAAGTGAATGAAACTCTTGTGGTTCATAAAAGAATTAACTCTCTCATTATCTCCCTTTCACTCAGTAATCAATAATTTTGACGAACCATGCGTCAGGTTGTGTAGCTGTATCAAATCAAGTGTTTTGTGTATGCCGAGTCACTGCCTTCCTCGATAAGCAGTGTTAGATGACATAGGATTTGGTTGGAAAGAAGTTAAAGGCATGTCGAACTAAAACCTGCAAAAAATCCACGATAGTTGGTTTAAAGCAGACAGTTTAGAAGGTGTAGACTACCTGGGTTTCCGGTATTTGGAGATGCTGAGAAACGACGGCGGGAGATTATTTGTGGGCGTTATTTTATGCAGGTCGAATTCTGATTGGTTCATTTCCAGAGTGAACATCGACCGCCAAGTCAACGCCATACGAAGTGGTGCTCAGGTAGGCTACACTCCACCTAGCACACAAAGGTAGGGAAAGGAGAGAAACAAAGAATTATTTGAATAAAGCAAGAACAAAAGGAATGGTTTATGCAGAATAAGACTATGCTACCACCAGTGCTTATTTCACTGACTTCTCATCGGCTGCTTACAGTCTAAATAAATTATTGTTAAGTTCATGTAGAGTGACAATTTTAACATACTCACCCACATAGAGTTCATTTTTAAACAAAAATCAACCAATCAATATATGCATACAATGCTAATAATAACAGTAATAATAAGCACTTTATTCCATACAATAATGATCATACACAATGGAAACTTTCGACATTACGCAATCAGGTGAAAGACAGGGTGAAAATATTGATTTACCAGACAGAGCAAAGAAAGATTGATAACCGATTCTTTTTTAACGCAAAAATTGTGTTATCAATTGATATTTTCACCCTATCTTTCACCTGATTACGTAATGTCGAAAGTTTCCACTGTGTGTGACCATTATTGTATGGAATAAAGTGCTTATTATTACTGTTATTATTAGCATTGTATGCATATATTGATTGGTTGATTTTTGTTTAAAAATGAACTCTATGTGGGTGAGTATGTTAAAATTGTCTCTCTACATGAACTTAACAATAATTTATTTAGACTGTAAGCAGCCGATGAGAAGTCAGTGAAATAAGCACTGGTGGTAGCATAGTCTTATTCTGCATAAACCATTCCTTTTGTTCTTGCTTTATTCAAATAATTCTTTGTTTCTCTCCTTTCCCTACCTTTGTGTGCTAGGTGGAGTGTAGCCTACCTGAGCACCACTTCGTATGGCATTGACTTGGCGGTCGATGTCCACTCTGGAAATGAACCAATCAGAATTCGACCTGCATAAAATAACGCCCACTGTTTTATTGATCATGATTACAGACTAATTTGAACATCTGTGATGACATTTTGAATCTTACACTATTTGTGTAAAAATATACTTTTCGGCTGACGTCGTGATGCAAGCCTGTGAAACAGGTAGGTGCCGCATAATGTTGTTGACCTATTTAAGCTATAGTCGTGATCAGCACATCTGCGTCCAACTCGAAGTCCCTATTTCAGTCTTGACGTAATGCAAAGCATAACACGTAAGTATAGTAATACTGTAAACACAAATGTACAGCCGATAAATACGTGCCGAAACGCACACACACACACACACCAGTGAAAATTTACCCTCAGAAACCACAATAAAATTCATTCCACCAAATATGAAGAATATTTCTAAGATAACATCGAGAATACTAAAACCATTTTTTCGAATAGATGTCATACACAAACCAACATAATGACATCATTCCATGAAATATGGATCAAAAGATCGGAGAGTAAAGGAAGATCAGATCAACATCATTTACAAAATAAATTGCATGAATTATAAATAACACTCGATTAACCAGGATGGGTGTCACCCTAAACCCCAGGTCCAGGAGAATAAACTAGCCATTAAAAGTTTCATGCAGGCAACTTAACATACCAGTAGACTGGGGAAAATATAGGGAAAGTGTGCGTGCTGCTGACGAGTCCCAAAGTAGGATGAAGCAGCTTTCCAGTACTCCCAGGTTTTCTAATGGTTCTCTAATTTATGTTAACTCGTGATGAAATTCTCCAACCAATTAAACAAAATCCCTACAAAAACCAATACTTAAAGAAATTTTTTAGACTATAGAAACACCGAAAACACTAGAGACTTCGTAGAAGCCTGATATTCATCGATTGAAAAACACATTACCATAGATCGAATAGACGAACTAGTAAAGAATAAGCCTCATGACAAGAAATGTCAAATCAAAGTAAAAAAAAACACGAACAACACTGATGCAAATTAACCGCCAGTCACAATCGAGAGGGTTAGGATATACAGTTATATGATCCAACCCCTCCACTTACAGTTTGTCAACTCGCGTATTTTACCTATTCTTCTTTACTGTTCACCCTTGTCTATTCTTTCCTGGATTGCTTAAGAAAGACTATGTCATACTTTGTAGAACTCTGAAGACTGTCGGTCAGTAGGACGAGTGGTATCCCATTGGGCCATATCGTTGAAACATCAATGACTTCGTGCAACAAATTTGCTAAAGGAATTTCGTCAGGCTGTGAGCACCCACTCAACCCTCAGCTCCAACCTTGTGTCTCCTCAGGTAAAACAAGAAGTCTTTTCATCAAAAGACTTTATGCACGTACGTCTAAGTATATAAAATTCCACTATACCATATTCGGCAATGCCTACTTTATGTGATGAAAATAGTGTTAGGCATGAACTAACTAACCTTCTTTGCACTATTAAATAAACCATTTCTTCCACCCTTACAGTACCGAACTTTATTGTTATTTTATTTCTTATATTTATAATCCTCTCAAGTTTTTGTTTTTATTTATTTATTTTTCATAAGTGTGAACATCATTTAAGCTGTGTGGATAACTGTTAATTTTGCATTTCCCCTCAGCATACTGCATCAAGAGAACATTAGATTCAATAATCTATAACATGCTAAAATTTCCAAAATGAATCGACAATGCTGTTTGAAACAAACTCACTGCTATTAATATTATTATGTTTAATTTTCTCAGTTCGTTCTTCGAATATTTTTGACTTTATACTGTAAATGTGGACAAATTTCTCTGGCTAATTTTCTTTTAATTTTATTTATATTTTGAGTAAATCAGATGCAATACTGTAGCATGCTGAGAATTCCATTCTCTATTATAAGTACTGTTTTTGGAATAAAGTAGATTATTATTATTATTATTATTCATAAAAGGTGTTGTCTAGAAGGTCAATGAGAACTTCAAAATTAAATCAATCAGTTTAGAAAATGCAACCATAACAAAATACCGGACTATTATGCATCAACTTACCTTCAGTAAATGAATAATCCTTAAATGAATTATCACCGTTGTTATTGTTATTATTATCATTATTAATATTTACATTTTGACATAACTTTTCATACACATACTGTTCTCTATCAATACGTCCTTTTGTGACTAATTTATACTGATCAATAATTTGAAAATGTTGATTTTCATTCAATATATTCAACACTACAATCGGATTGTTTAAATGACTTGATGTATTTTTTGGCGCGTACTTTTCAAATAGAAAATTTAAATCACATACAAACGTACTGATGAGTATTTCTTCAGTGACAATACACTGGTTATTGTTGTTATAGCTGTCATCTGCTGTGATGATCGAAAGAAGTAGTGCAGAAATTAAACACTTGATTATGTAATACAAATAATAACAATTGATGATAGACATGGAATGAATATTCTTCATTAATCAAGTACGGGTTTAGTTTCAATGTCAAATTGTGATGAAATTACTTCCGAATTTGTTTTATCGAATCATTTATAGCTATTATATTTGCAAATATTGAATAAAAAAGAAATTAGCTCAAAGTTCTTCTTCTATCTGTAGGAATAAATGAAATTTTTGTGATCAAATTTGTGATTTCTTGGATGAAAGTAATATTTCCCTAAAATTTTCTATAAAAATGTAGACGATCATAAAACTGTTTTGATATTTGCATGGTTAGTCGTCACATAGGTACAACCATACAGCACACGTGCATGCATGCATGCATGCATCCATTTACTCTTGGAGGTACTCACTCACTCGCACGCACACGCACATACACACACTCATACTAGTGTACAAAAATTCAAGTAAGCTGATTTAAAGTAATTGAATACTGCTACTCAACATTTTTCATTTGAATTATTTGCTTCGCACTACTACACTACTCACTACTTTTATTATTTTTATTTATCCTCTAAATAATTTGGTGTTTAAATGTGCACATCATTTTCCGTGTAGATAAGACAGCATACAGGCATGCACATCCGTGTGTGTGTGTTAGTGTGTCTGCTTATGTATAATAAAAGTGTGTCCGTTATTATTATCATTATTATTATTATTAGCTGACATGATTGTACGCACGAGATGTATGTTTGTTTATATATATCTACTGGCAAACACTACGCACACTGGATACATACACACGCACATGCAAACAATTTGTGTGCGTTAATCACTTGGGTTGTATCAACTTCCAATAGGAGAAATGAGATAGGTAGACAGACATGGGTGAAGATTGTCTGTCTATCCATCACTAACTATACATAAATGTATGTACGTGTGTATGTGTGTGTGACCCAGCAAAATAGGAAAGGAATGAGATTAATACAAAATGCACCGATGATTTTATTTTGATATTTTGAATAGATGAATGCATAGTCATAATAATAATAATAATAAAGGGATAACACAGTTGATTAAATTTACTCGTTGTGCATACCTACGTCAGCTAACTTTGTTACTTCTTCTTTGTATGTATACGTATGTGGGTGTGTGCACGTGTGTATGTGTGTGTGTGTGTGTGTGGCGTTTATATATAAGCACCACTACTGCTGGATGAAAATAAATCTCGTTTGAACGCACACGTGTTCTGTCACTATGGTGATGATAACAAAGAATAATTTCCCAGAGTTAGTTCGTAGTAGAGATTTTGATCTGTTTCACGTCTCATCAGGGATTGATATCAATAAGTTAGGGTATGCGTTGAAAATCAGCAAGGAGTAATGGACAGCCGTTTGATCCTTGTAAATGAATGTGAACATTGAACGTTGGTTTGTTGGCCTTGGTCGCCAATGGCGGCCAACTCAAAGGCGCCAATGATTCAATCGTGTACAAGTTGGAAGAAGACGAAGGAATATGAATAAAAGTACAGTATATTCCTTGTAAAATATTTGTTTATAGACCTCAGAAGAGTATTGACTGCCGAACAATACAACTTATTACAGGCTCTTGTGTTTTTGGAATTAAGTTCAATATTGTACTCAGTAATTGTCGGTTCGAGCGTCTTCGGAGATAATAGTGTGGTAAGAGCTGGCTGCCAGCCAAAATGGGTAGACAGCAATTTACGTAACTGTTTATGTCCCCAATGTTTGTGGTGAGAAAATTAGAACAAAGACTGATTCAACAACTAATCACAGCAGACTTTGCGTGGGGGGATACAATTTGCAGATAGATAATCTGAACTTCATGAAATGGCCACAAAGAGATGAAAGATTAACGTTCAGGAAGAAACCACCGATCAGAAGACTGTGTTTGTTTGCCTAAAGTAATCTATAATAATGTACATGAAAATCTATAAACATCTGTTGATTTCGCAAATAAACGACCTGTTGCTTAACCCTTGTCTTCTGTTGTTACAATAGGAACTTAGGATTAGGTTCCTTGACAGTCCTACTTTCGAACTCCTCAGTAGTGGACACCAGTGACCTCATCAGGGAGTGCACAACAACGTCAGCCGAAAAGTGTATTTCGGCATCAGTCACAGCATAAACAATAAGGTATGCTTAGAAATATCATCAAGGATGTGTCAATTACTGTATAATCGTAATCAATAAAAAGGTTGTGGGCGTTATTTTAGGCAGGCCAATTGTGATTGGCTTATTTCCCGACTGACTATGATCACCATATCATCAATAAATGATAATCCACTGTGTGTATGCTTATAGAACGTTACGGCGCGCTTTTCGATTACTGCATTACGTTTTCGCTGATATATATAAAACTCTCATTTCTTTGTTGTATCTCACTACGAAGTTCTGGAATTTATTACAATCTGTCTACTTTCGAACACTGAACCTGTTGATTTAATATCCCTGAATACTTATACTTATAACAAAGTATTTCTTGACATTTTGTGACCTTTTAACACAAACATATCTATAATTGTATATATTGTTGGATTTATATGTTCAAGTTAGTCCAAGTCAGTGAGTCTATCGTTTTGATATCATTTTAGTTAACTGTGCTTAACTGTATTGCATGTTGTTGCATTGTATTATTGTAGTCGCTTTTTGCCCTTTTTGGTGTGAATTATTTTCCTTTTGCTGGTGTTGTTCTGATTGTTTGCCCGTTGTTTTCCGATTTTAAGGGAAGCAACCCACAAGGTCGCTTCTCTCTAGACTTTATCTTAATGTAACAATTCCTTTCTCAGGCGTGAGGCTAGCAAACCCACCCTGTAAACAAAGTTGCTACAGTAAATTCGGCACGAAGAATCTCTTTGCGCCAAGAGAAAAAGTCTGTGTGGGGACATGGAACGTCCACACCATGTACGAGATTGGAAAAGCTGCCCAGATCGCAAACGAGATGAAAAGATACGGAATCCAAGTACTGGGAATATGTGAAAGTAGATGGAACGGGAATGGACACACCAAATTGTCAACGGGTGAGTCAGTGATCTACTCCGGTCACCCAGAAGATAACCACACGCACACCGAGGGCGTGGCTATCATGATGTCACCAACGGCAACGAAAGCCCTGATGCACTGGGAGGCGATCTCGTCCAGGATAATGACCGCCAGATTCAACTCCAAAGGAAGGAAAGTGTCAATCATACAATGTTATGCACCCACAAACAACGCAGACCTCGAAAAGAAAGAAGAATTCTACAGACAACTACAGGCAACAATGGACAATACTCCAGCTGGCGACATTAAAATACTAATGGGAGACATGAACGCCAAACTGGGACCAGACAACACAAGAAGGGAACTCATCATGGGTAGAGAAGCTCTCGGAGAAATGAATGAAAATGGAGAACTCTTCGCCGACTTCTGCGCCTTCAACGAACTAGTGATTGGTGGCAGTGTATACAAGCACAAAGATATCCACAAGGCTACATGGGTGTCACCAGACGGGCAAACCAAAAACCAAATTGACTTCATCTCAATCTGCTCAAGGAAGTGGAGGCGCAGCCTACTTGACACAAATTAAGAAGAGGAGCAGACGTTGGCTCACACCACTATCTCATGCAAGGGACAATCCAAATCAAATTAAAAGCTTTCAGAGAAGGAGGATCTGCAGATAGACCACAAGCCAAGTTCAACACTCAAAAACTGAAGGACCAGGCTACAAAGGACATCTTCATTGCAAGCATAAGGGAAAGAGCCAAGACACAAATCAACACCAGCGAAAAGGTCAGCGTCGAAAAGCACTGGGACAACTTGAAAACGGTGTGGAAACAAACCTGCATGGAAGTTCTAAGCAGAAAGAGGAAGCAGGACAAACAGTGGCTCACTGCTGACACTTGGAAACTAATAGAAGAGAGAAGAGTAGTGAAACAAAAGATTATCCAGTGCACCGACGAGCAACAAAAACAGGAGCTGAATGCAAGCTGCAATAAGCTGAACAAAAGAGTAAAGAATAGTACCAGGAAAGCCAATAGAAAATATTATGAAGCCATGGGAAGTGAAGCAGAACAAGCTGCAGTTCAGGCAAAGGAGACCTCGCCACACTCTACCAAACAACTAGGCACCCATCGGGCAAAAGTTCGACACAGATTAAGCCAATAAAGGACGACAATGGAAAGTCAATCACCAAAGAGGTGGAACAGAGAAAGCACTGGGCTGAACACTTCAAAAGACTTCTAAATCGTCCGCCACCTACAACACACCCAACAATACCAACAACGGAAGCAGAACTACCAGTGAACATCAACCCCCCGCCGACGAAATCATAAGTCCTGAATGCAATGAAGATGCTAAAAGCAGGGAAAGCAGCAGGACCAGATGGAATCCCAGCAGAGGCCTTGAAAATAGACCCAGAGACAACAGCGGACTTGATGACGCCACTGCTGGAGAAGGTGTGGAAAGAGGGCAAAGTACCTGAGGATTGGAAGAAAGGATACTTATTCAAACTACCAAAGAAAGGAGACTTGAGTCAATGCAATAACTGGCGTGGAATTATGCTTCTGTCCATTCCAAGCAAGATACTAAGTCGCATCACCCTGGAGAGAATCAAACACGCCAACATGGATGAAAAGCTTCGACCGGAACAGGCTGGATTCAGGAGAGACAAGTCATGTATTGATCAAATCGCCACTCTATGGATCATCATTGAACAAAGCTTGGAATGGCAGTCACCTCTCCACCTCACTCAACTTCATCGACTTTGAAAAGGCCTTCGACAGACAGCGTCGATCGAGAGGTCATTTGGGAACTACTTCGCTACTACGGGGTCTCATCGACAATTATACATCTCATCCAACAGTTATACAACAATGCTGCGTGCTAAGTAATCCACAACAGGAAACTTACGGAAGCCTTCGAGGTGACGACGGGAGTGAGACAAGGCTGTCTACTAACATCAATGATATGATAGAGAAGATTTGTAGCTCAGGTGGATGATTTTGATGTGGTTTTGTTCTCTGAGCTGGATGGTTAATTTGCGAAGCTTTCATCACCCTACTGGGTGACATCTTCAGC